GAGAGGGAGAGAGATGGAGAGAGATGGAGAGAGAGGGAGAGAGAGGGAGAGAGAGGGAGAGAGACTGAGTTCGAGAGTGAGGCGAACTCTAAACAGACTACCAGACTATAATAATGGTTGGCCACCGCTGTTGTGGCTGCATCGGGTGGCACTGCTGGCGGTCGTCTCGTTGGGCACCGCGGACGTGTCAACGCCTGGGCGTCTCGCCCGCCGCGCCCCGCCTGGCCTGGGTGGTGTGGAGTTGAGATTGTGAGTTGGAAAGTTGGCTTGACGGCGGCGAGAGGGCTGGCAAGGGCGGTTCCAGACGCGCTGTGACATCCGGCGACATCTTTCACTGACAGCGGCGGTGCTCGTCCTCCTGCCTCTCTCCCTCTCTCTCCTTTCTCTTTCCCCTCTCTTCCCGCCCCGGCGCTCCCACAGTCTCCTACATCCTTTCGCGCCCCTCTCTCCAGCAGCATGTCCCGGACACACGCGAGACTGTGCGTGTCTCATTCGCGCACACCTGGCTGGGGCCCGGCTGGCTGGAGCTGGAGCTGGAGCGAGTCCAGTCTAGCTGTCCGACTCTCTAAACCCTCCTCTCTCCAGCCGGGCTACCGCCCGAGCCCTCTCGCATACATCTCCTCGCCTCCCTCACCCGTCGAGCTTGCCCGTTCCTCCCCCTATCCCGCCTACTCTCTCCACCCTACAACACCCTCTCACTCCATTTCTGTTTCGGTTAAGCGAAAACACTCCGGCCCACTTCATATCACACAAGTTATTACTGCGCAGCGATTAGACGAGGGGTCATGATGGGGGGCGCTCTCTCACTCTCTCTTTCGCTCTCGTTATCTCTCTCTCTCCCTCGCCCCCCCCCCTCTCTCTCTCTCTCTCTCTCTCTCTCTCTCTCCTTCCGAAACTCGTTACGGCGTGTCTCTCGCTCTCCGCACCAGGGCTCCTAAGCCAGGTGTTGTGTCACGTGGTGAGAGGCGGGCGGTGATCAGAGGGGAGAGTAGAGGCAGGGTCAGCGGAGGCGGCTGCGGGGGGTCGTGGCCGCGCTGACCATCTCTGCAGCAATTAGTGTAATGAGCTTTCACCCCCTCCCCCTCTTCCCTGCTCTCCCCTGCTCTCCCCTGTTAGTGTCTTTCTCTCCCGGCCCTGAGGGCACGCCTGGTCCAGCTCGGCCTCATTGTGAGTCGGGAGGCTGTGAGTCGGGTCGAGGCCTGGCGTGGCGTAGCGACGACGTAGCCCCCCCCCCCGCTATCCCGCATGTGGGCTTAGCAGTCGCTGCTACCCGCTCTGGGGGCTGAGCGGAGTGGAGCTGGCGCTGATCTCGTCGCCTGCGTCGAGCCGCGTTTTTTCTGGCATCTCAAGGGAGGTTGACATGACACATGCTTTAGGAGAAACACTCTGAGACAGTTTTCCTGAAAACGTTATGGCTTTATTCCGAACGAGATTGTGTTATTGAAGTTGACGGCCACGCGTATTGATGCCTAGACGCCCTCGTTCCACACCTTGTCGCAGAGCTCGCAGAGCACCTCGACGGCGGCGGCCAGGACGCGGCGCGCCGCGCTGCGCTGGCGGTTGCAGTCGGCCAGCTCGTGGCTGCAGTGCCAGCGCCGCAGCACGAGCCTCTTGAGCGCGCGCAGGTCGCTCCGCAGCAGCAGGACGTGCAGGTCGCCGCAGCTCCACGGCCAGTCGTCCTCGCCCGCCGTGCCCACGTACAGCTCGAGCGTCTCCAGCGAGCGGCCGTGCGCCCGCAGCAGGGTCTGGAGCGTGACGCGTGGCAGGTTCCACACGTTGAGCCACTGCAGGCCGCGGTGGCCGAGCTCGCATTGCTGGGAGAATAGGGGCGGGTCCTTGTCGAGGGCCGAGTCGGGGCACTGCACCTCGAGCCTCCGCAGCAGCGGCATGCCCTGCAGGGCGTGCAGGTGCTCCGCGCGCGGGTAGTTGACGCTGAGGTGCTCCAGCGTGGGCGCCGCGTGCAGCAGCAGCTGGAGGCTCCAGGCGGGGTCCTCGTCGCAGTCCACGCCGAACAGCCGTGCCACCTGGAGCAAACCAATCAAGACGTTACTTTCCGAGGCTATTATTCTCCTTCGGTCATGACCACAACTGAGCACAATTTGGATTACTCACGCCGGGCGCGTCTCGCAGGACGGCCTCCTTGGCCGTCGGGCTGGTGGTGTCTCGACCCCTCACGTCGAGCTCGCGCGCCAGGTCGGGCAGCCCACCGGCAGGGGGCTGCTTGCGTGCCGAGTGGTGAGGGCTGGCAGCTGCGCGCGGGGGGCGGCCAGCTGGGCGCGGCGGGGTCGCCGCCACTGCAGCTGCCCGACAGGGGTTGGCGGTTGCAGGTGGGGGGCTCGCTCCCCGTTCCTGTAAAACAGCAGGTGTCTTGTGTGAGACGCAGGTGTGCGAGGTGCTCGAGGACCACGATCGTGACCGCTGCAACTTACCTCCTGTTCTCTCGCTGCCGGACTGAAATGCACATTCTCGACGAGGAGAGTGTCCTCATCGTCGTTCGTCTGGGGGTGTGGCTCGGCCTCCTGCTTGATGCTCACGGTGTTGACGGCCACCTGCTGCTTGGCGAGGGCGGCCTTCGCCGCCAGCACGAGCCACACGGCCTTGACGAGGGGCTCCCCGGCGTTACGCACAGTCCCCGTCAGCACGTTGCTGCCGTCACGCAGGGTCAGGTCCCACGACTCGGCCGTCAGCAGGGTGAGCAGCACCTCCAGCTCCTGGCACTGGTCCCGGAGGCCCGGGAGCTGGCCGGCGGCCTGCTGCAGCACGTCGGCGCGCAGGTGCCGCCTCAGCGCGGCCTTGGTGGCCAGGACGTCGTGGTCGTCCCAGCACCGGGGCGTCGCCGCTGTGCGGCAGTCCGGGCACCAGCCGCGGGGGACCCTGGTGACACGGCAAATGAACATTAGAGTCGGAGCTCACACACCGCCAGGCTGTTTGACATTCCATGGCTGTCTCTGCACATTAAAAGAAACACCCAATTATGCTTACCTGGCGTCTCTCAGACGGCCTATCGTCCGCAGTGCAATTAAGCTGGTGGGTAGGTCAGTGGGGGAAGAAGTGAAGGCCTGAAAAAGAACAAAAACCATGCTCTAATACTACTAACTAGTCGACGGATTGCGTCTTGTTTACGGGAACGATTTCCTTTCCTACGCCGTGTGTGCCGTCAATGATAACTACTTTGTAGACACGAAGCAGGGACTCACCTTTCTGCACGTCGGGCACTCTTTCTTTTGGTTCCGCTGCAGGCAGCGCAGGCACACGGTGTGTCCGCACGGCACGTTCTTGGGTGTGCGCTCCGCCTGGTCGAAGTCCTCGCGGCAGATGTCGCACTCCATGGTATCCGGCGGTGCTGCTGACAGTGCTGGAGTGTCGTGTGAGCTGCACGCCTGGGATGGCGCGTCTTTACTTCTGCGACCTGCGCGGTTGGACTGACGACTGACAGGCGACAGGCCAGGTCAGGGACAGGAGGAGAGAGGAGGATGCCTGCCTGCCTGTCTACCGCCGGCCTGCCTGCCTGCCTGTCTGCCTGCCGTCGGTTCCCGCTTCCCGGTGCGCTCGTCGAGAGATTAGGGCCGAGGGGGCCGCCGAAGTCCGAAGCAGGCAAGGACCTGGCCATCGGGCGCCTTTTGCTTGCCTTGCAGTACCGGGTGCCGGCGCGCCGGACGGGACACAAAATCGGGAGTCGGGAGACTCAATGGTCGGGCTCGCCCCCCTGCGTCTCAGCCAGAACCCCCCCCCCCTCCTTACTGACTCCCTGCACTGCGGTGTACTTGAAAAATGTGCTGTTAAGAACACTCCAAACGCCTGATCAGTAAACGGCTATTTTATGTTTGCCGTTAATATTATTCTCAACAACCTCTCACTATAGGTGCGTGTGCGTAGGAAAGACAAACGTGATAAATAAAGAAGCGCATTTTGACGCAAAATGCAATTTATTATCCGGGCAGGTTCATGTAACGGGGACGGGACGACAGGTCGATAGGTGAGCTCTGAGGTGAGCCAACAGTAGGCGGGCTGGAGGTGCACTGCACGCACTGCACCTTACCAGCCACGGGAGGCACTCCCCGTCCCTGCGCCCCGCTCTGTGGCTGGTGTAGCAGTCGGCCGTACCTCGCAAATGCGTCCCACCTGGAACAGAACCGACAGAACCACTTTTAACACCGGGTCTAGCAATCTTGTTGACACAAGCCGCTTGCTTTGTCTCGGCGAGAGAGTGCGACTTGGGCGCTCGCTTGAAGAAGGAAAACAAAAGAACTTTTACATCTTTTCAGGCGGGGCGTTTACAAAATAGAGGAAATAGCGGCGGGGCTTGGTCCGCAACGCTTGAGCATCGGGGGTCGCGATCCCTTTCTAGACGTAGTGTTCTTGTTTAAATCGAGTATTCGTTTAGCACTCACCGAAATGGCGTCGTTTAGCGCGGTCCTTGCGATGGTGGACTTCTATCGCTGCCAGATCCTTCACCCGCTTTGGCAGCGGTGCCCGCTTTGCTGGGGGTGATCCACGCGCTGCTCCTGGAGGATTCCCCTGGCGCCTGTCAGTACACTGTAAACAAAAGTTGCTAAAAACATTGTTTCGATAAAACTTTGTTGAGAAATAAAAACGTTTTTGTTGGTCCAAAACGGTATGAACAACACGAGTCGGTGCAATATTATTTTTTTTACAGTGCACTGGAAACGCTAGTGTGTGAATGTCGCACACTCACCCACACCTACAAGTGTGCCACATTAACACACTTTCGTTTACAAGTGTGTGCTCGTCTCGAGCGCGCGCGTCTAACCTCGCTCCCGCGCGCCATGGTGGCCATCAGCAGCCACATGGTCTTCATGAGGGGGCTGTCCGTGTTCCTCATGGTGCCCGACAGCTCCTGGACGCCGTTCTCGGCGCGCAGGCTGAGGTGCCACGACTCGACGGTGAGCAGGGTGAGCAGCACCTCCTCCTCGCGGCACTGGCGCCGCAGCCCCACGATCTGCTCGGCGGCCTGCTTGAGCGCGCCCTCGGGCAGCAGCCGCCTCAGGGCCGCCTTGGGCGCCAGCACCTCGTGCTCGTCCCAGCACGCGCGCATGGCCACGACGCGGCAGTCGGAGCACCAGCCGCGGGCCGACCTGCAGACAAACGCGTTCAGTACTCGACAGCCAGCCTGCAACTTATAAATTATAAATAATTTGAATTCTGCCGCGCTCACCTGGCCTCGCCTTGGCGCTCGATCCTACGCAGTATAGTGAGGTTGGTGGGCAGGTCCGCGGGAGGAGGCCCGAACACCTACAAACAGAAACCACATGTTTCTTGTAAAGGACATGAAACATTCCGTATTTAGTTTAATTTTACTGTTTGTCTTATTTTCTGAAAAAAGGGGTGGGGGTGGGGGTGTGTGTACTCACCTGACGGCACGTCGGGCACTCTCTCTTGTCGGTGCGCTGCAGGCAGTGCAGGCACACGGTGTGCCCGCATGGCACGTTCTTGGGGGCGCGCTCCGCCTTGTCGAAGTCCTTGCAGCAGATGTCGCACTCCATGGTGTATCCGGCGGTGCTGACGCGGTGCTTTTGCGTGCTCGCCAAAGAACAGAGCGGGATGTTGTGTTCTTCACGCGGCACGACCCTCCCAGAAAATGGAGTTGAGCGGCGTTTGAGATGCGTCCTTCCGCCGTGAGATGCCCTTTAAGACTGACGTGACGAGTAAAGTGAGAGGAGAGCAGGGGAGGGGGAGGGGAGGGGTCTCCTCAGCGCGCTATGCAGCGGCCGGCCGAGGGATTAGCGCCGACGAGGACTTCGTGGAAGCGGTCTCCGGGTCGTACCGCGAAGTCGCCTGGAGACGCTGTGACGAGAGAGAGAGAGAGAGAGAGAGAGAGAGAGAGAGAGAATTTGGTTTAGTTTAGCAATCGGTTTATTGGGGGAGAGAGAGAGAGAGAGAGAGAGAGAGAGAGACTACTATGCACATTTTACGCGCTCGGCGATTAACTGATAGAGAATGACGCCCAAGTTATCGGCATCTCAAAGAGGGAATGCCTGCAGAAAAGATGGCAAGCAAAGTTCCCGCATGGCCACGCGGTGTCCTGGATGTGATCAGGCTCGAGCTGGCCGGCTGATGCAGAACTCTGCAAATAGGAGGCCGGGCGCGGGGTCAGCCCCCCAGCCGCTCGCCCGTGGTGCGGTGTACTCTGCGGGGGATTAGCGCCGGGGGCGCGCGGCGCGAGCTTCGAGGAAAGCGACGGACGAGGAAATCTCCCCGTCGTCTCGGCTTGCAGCAGGTAGAGACCCTGCATGCCGAAGTGTCGGCGTGGCGTCGCTTGACACAGGGTCGGTCTCGCCCTGGTCTCGCCTGCCTGCGGTGCAGTCACTGTAAGTTTCTTTACGAACAACTGCTCTACGTAACGCACAAAGGCCTGCGGCGGCGCAATCTAGCGTTGTTGCAGAGTTAAATAAAGTGTATAGAGCACGGCGTAGAGACATTGCAACTGCGCCCTGGCCGGCATGGAGGATCGGCAGTGCTCTAGCAGCGGAAGGCAGAGCTCTAGCAACGGACATTCTTTAACTTATTGGTTTTAGTCGTAACTCAACTCGAACAAAGCTACACAGCATGGTGGAGTAAATGCTGTGTTGTGGCGGCTCGGGCCGGTGTAATGGTGAATTGTCAGTAAATGCACAGGCTGCGAGGCGTGCAGTGAGACTTCCATCTTTAACACAATCAGTCACTTGGTCGAGAAATTGCTGTTCGCCAATTGTGACTGTACGCCTCCTTTTTACGACTAGAGCCGGGTTGATACAGAAAGGAATGCAGGCAGGATGCTTTTGAGAAAGGTAGATTTTATTCGGTCAGGTTCTAGTATGCATGACGTGCTGAAGTCCCAACTAACGGGTATGAAGTCAGTGCGGTGCACCCCCCAACTACGATGCAATTTTAAGGGATGCAGCCTCCCCCCCCCCCCCCCCCCCTCTAAAATTTCCACTTCATAATTGTCAGGGCTGGCACTTTTTGTGAAGACACGCCACCTCGACCGCGGGCAGAGCCTGCCGCAACAATTGACGCTGCCACACGCAGCCCCCTTGGTGGTGAGGCCCCACTACTGGCCTGTGTAGGCGGAGGTGCCTGAGGGCGGGCAGGCTGCGCTCGTTCAGTATCCAGCGCAGATCGGGCCACACATGACGGGACGCAGTAGACTCGCCTTCGGGCGACCAGACGTACAGGTCCAGCTCCTGCAGCGTGGGCCCGTGGACCTTCAGCAGGGACAGGAACAAGGGGCCGTTAGGGACACCGCGTATCCTGAGCCGTTGGAGGCCGGGCTGCGCATCCGCTGGCAGCTTCATGTCCCAGTTATTTCTAGTATCAAAACCTCCGAAATCTAGACTGGTCAGGCGCGGCATGGCAGCGATCTTTAGCAAGTGTTCCTCGCGGGGGGATGATAGCTGGAGATGCTCCACAGTGGGTGCAGCGCGCTTCAGCATGTCGAGGCTCCAGTATTGTTGATAGCTGCCACAATCTAGCCCGACTAGCTTCACCACCTGCAACAGAACAGGGGGGGGGGGATACTACACACATCCTTTCCGGCTGTGCGTCTACACTGGTAATCCACGTGTACGAATGTCGCAGACCTGCAGGTAAATGAAAGATTTACTCACCTGCTGGTGCGACAGAATTTTCACACACCTGCAGATGTGTGAATGACCATTCACACACTTGGGGCGTGTAAATAATTACCTTTCTAAGTGTCCGAATCTCAATTCGCTCACCAACCAATGTGTGAACATTTGTTTATCACCTACAAGCGTGTGAACTTTTTCACTCGCCTTCAGGTGTGCGACATTTTTACACTTGGATTTCCAGAGTACGTCTGTGGTAGTGCTGTCAGTAAGACGACGCTACACACACGAAAGGCGGTTGCATTTGCAAGTACCCGTTGTGTAAACCAGAATAAGAGAATCAGGAAATATGAGTTGAAAATTAGCTTACCCCTACAGCGGATAACAATAATGCCTTCTGAGCCTCAGGATTAAAGTAGGTTCTAGAACAATTAACTGTTCGGACAACAGGCCGTGCCTCGGTAGGGGTTGCCAGCGGAGCTGCTGGCCCTGTGACTCGAGGGTTCTCCGCTGCAGGTGGTCCCTGTGCCGCACCCCGCTCCTGTAAACCCCAAAAGGTTTTAGTGACTTGCCGTGGTAGAGTCGTGGTTAATGTGACAACTCGTATGGACAGAGATCGGGTAGAGCATGCTCATCGGCATGCCCTAAACCCTGACGTGGCTTACCTCGACGCTATCCTCGGTAGTGTTGGTGGTGACCTCGCTGAGTCCGGCCCGCTCCGCCGCCACGAGCCACATGGCCTTCAGGAGGGGGTCCTCGGCATTCCTCAGAGTCCCCGTCAGCACACGCGCCCCGTCCTGCAGCATCAGGTCCCACGAGTGGGCCGTCAGCAGGGTCAGCAGCACCTGCTCCTCCTGACACTGGCGCTGGAGGTCCTCGAGCTGGGCGGCGGCTTGCTGCAGGGTGCCGTCGGGCATGTGGCGCCTCAGGGCGGCCTTGTTGTTGAGGACGGTGTGCTCGTCCCAGCAGGGGTGCGTGGCGGCCGCTCGGCAGTCCGAGCACCAGGCCCGTGGCTCCCTGTCGACACGGCAAATGAACAAATGAGTCGGAGCCCAAACGCCGCAGGGCGGTCTGTGTGATGTGATATTCCAGGGGCGCATCTCTAAAGCAACATTTACTCTGAACGCGCTTACCTGGCGTCATGCAGGCGCTCTATCGTCCGCAGTGCAATTAAGCTGGTGGGCAGGTCAGCGGGGGAAGAAGGGAAGGCCTGCAAAAGGACAAAAACAATGTCCAGTAACATCTTCGGAACTGGTTACGTCTTGCATTGTACGATTTCCTTTTCTTAGCCATGTCTGCGAAAAAGTCTGTCGACGTGACCTTTGTAAAGCTACGATGGGACTCACCTTGCGGCACGACGGGCACTCTCTCTCCGCGGTTCGCTTCTGCAGGCAGTGCAGGCACACGGTGTGCCCGCATGGAAGGTTCTTGGGGATGCGCTTCAGCTGGTCGAAGTCCTTGCAGCAGATGTCGCACTCCATGGCTGCAGGCGTTGCTGGGGCACGGAAAAAAATGGTCGGTTGTGGCAACCAAAAGTCGATCGCTACGACCATTTCTCTCGGTAGATACCAGGACTATCGACTTTCTGATTGTGACAACCAAGCGGCATAGCTGCAGCGGGTTAGTTGCGACAGCCGACGGGTTGATCGTGGCGATCAGAACCGCTAATAGCAGGAATCGAACTTTACTGCGTTGTAGGGACTAGAGTCTTTTGACACCTCGTGGCTGCAGCTAAAAAGTTGATCGCTGTGATCGATTTGTCGTATTGGAGGACATACTAATCTGACATCATTTGTTTTGTTTATTTTTCTTGCTAGAGTTTGATATTGAAGGTTGAGATCAAGAATCTGCGATCCACTGAGGCTCGGCAGATATCAAAAATCGGCAAGTCATTTCAATCGCCTGATGGCGAATTTTAGACTATCTCTCTTCAGAGAACAATGTATACGTCACTCGGGACACCCAGCAATGGAGGCGACCGAAGGCCTCACCGCGAGGTAACAGAAATATAAGCGTATCTTTGCAAATGAATAACAAATGGTTTTCAACCATTGAAATATAATTTCGAATGGTTGTTATCTTGCCGTAGGCAGGAGTTATTCACCTAAAATGGTCGCGGGTGAGATGAAATTAATGAAATAATCAGTCCGGGTTGGGGAAGGAGTGCTACGCTGCACGTGATTCTGATTTCTACCGCAAGGTGGCGACAAGGCATAGTGGGCAACCCCTTTTCTCTCGCACGTTCCTGTAGTGTTCGTCGACCTAGGTAAACGGCGCCGGGTGATTGCCACGACAAACCGATCTATAGGTGCAGAACCAAGCCAGATAGTAGGGCGACGTATGATTACAGCGATCGAGTCGACCTAACAAAGCGAGTTGTAACACAACAACGAATCCAGCCGGCTGCCACAACCAAGCAGTTCGATGCTCACAACCAATTCACTCTCAACCAGGATAATCTGGTCACCACGACCAACCCTTTTTTTTCCGTGGGTGTCGTGTGAGCTGCACGCCTGGGATGGCGCGTCCTTACTCTGCGAGCTGCGCGGTTGGACTGGGAGGAGAGGAGAGGAGGATCCTGCCGGTCGGTGCCGGTGGCAGTCGTCGTTCCCCTTCGAGCTGCGACGACGTCGGACTGGCGTCCCGGTCCGGTTGTGGTGTGGGTGGAGTGGGTGTGGTCTAGGCCCGTCGTCAGGTAGACGAGGCACGAGTCTGCAGAGGAGTCTGCGCGCCCGCCGAAAGATTAGCGCCGCCGAGGTCTCGGGGCGCCACCCCGCTACGAGCGCCGCTCGGCGTGCTGTCGTACTTCCCCGACGCCCTGTAGACGTGCCTACGGCCTCGGCTTCCCTCGCCCTTCAGCCCTTGCAGCTTGCGGCCCGTGCCGTGGTCGACCTGGAGCAGGGACTTGAAAGTGTGTGTCTGTGGGGGGGGGGGCGTGTTTTGATAATGCAGACCAGACCACCCGCCCTGACGGGAGCGCGAGCAACGAGCAACCCGAACTTGTGTGCATTGGTTGCTGCTGACCCTCTACTTCAGCCTCCTGAGTCTCGACATGGTGCATTATT